CATGCGACCAAAGTTCAAAGTCATCGTCCAAGTATCGCATAAGCACTCTTGACTGCAGCGGTGACTTCTCAAATTACTTCTTCAAAACTGTATTTGTATACATTTGCAAGAGATGTGAGAACGGAGATCCCATCGGTCCACGGTCTGATGCTGGGAATTTTAATGACTACTATAGCAGAGGACTTCGGACAAGGTGCGTTCAACTAGGTCTCCCTGACAAGACCAAGGTGCGAAAACGAGGTCTACCCACTCCTAAATAATTATTACTTCCGGCGGACTCACCTTCCCAAAAAAGACTTGCTCTGAAGCGCGTCCACCTAAAGCAAGACACATTTCGTCCATAAGCTGCTCCTGTGTATATAGGTAGACGTCACGTGGCATATATTGGGCATAACCAAGTGCCTTGCCCCGGGGAATAATGCTCACTTTAAGAAGTGGGTTACAATGCTCTAAGAACCAACCGACCACTGCGTGCCCAGCTTCGTGGTAGGCAACTGTTTTCTTTTCGTCCGGTTGTAATACCTAAACAAAAGTGATTACAAGAGGTATATAAGAATATATAAAAGGAAGATATATGAACATAGTGCCAAAATTTATGCACAAGAATGTAATATAGCAGTGATCATACTTACCAAAGGCAAAACTAAAAAGATGGAGCCCCTTCATAAAGAAATGCATAGTATTTTTCGTTTATAAGTTTTAGACATTACCAGCAGGTCATTCATATATATACATTTAGCAAAGTTCATACTTAGTATAAGCCTTCATTAATAACAAAACGACAAAATCATATACTTATAAGATTAGTTAATTATAAACCAAATCGTTCAGAGGGAAAGCAAATCTATACAAAAGAGAAAGAAAGTAACCATCTAGAAACAGGTAAATATTGTATGAAATAAATTTCAATGTAAAATCAGCTGCATTCAATCAAGGAAATGCAATTTGAAAAAAGTAAAGATAAATTTTTAACCAAAGCAAATAAACAGCAATTCAAAAAAATAAAATTGGCATTATTAAGAACATTAGGAGTTAATAGAACAAATTACTGGGCAAATATAGGTGTTCCTCATCTAGAAGCAGATATGTAGCTGCCAGTCGCGAGATGAAATATAATTAAATTGTCAGACATTGTCAGACATCCGAAAAGAAAACTGCGGTGGAATGAAGTAGGTGTTTAAGATCAGAGCACTAGAAAAGGTCGAATAGTCTGGAGATATTTCACAGATAAAAAACTTCCGAATGCTATCATTGTTGTTGCCAATGATTCGTAAATAAAGTAGCAAAGAAATTTAATTGTCCAGTTTCTGTGAGGCCATAAAAAGGCTAAACTATCTTAATAGAATTTACGAAATTATAATGAATTGAAGGAAACTTCACAAGGCATACCTGGCTTTTTTTCTCCATCCCAGCGATCACGCGATCGATTGCCTTCTCAAAATGACTAGTCTCCACCTGGCGAGCATCTTCACGTGCAGCAATAAGCGCAGCCTCGTTGCAGACATTAGCAATGTCCGCACCCGAAAAGCCAGGAGTGCGAGCGGCCATTCGACGGGCCGTCCCGACAATGTCAAGGCTCATTTTAATTGGCTTTAAGTGAACCTAGTGAGTGTTATGCAGGGGTACACGAAGGATAGGATGAAATAAAAAGCGATAAATGAATCCCCTAGTTTTCCCATAATAGAACATGACTTACGGCCATAACTATTAGCCTGTCTCAAAAAAATAAATATAAGAAGATAAAAGTGATGCTTGCTTTGTCTAAAAATGAGCCTTGGAGACTGGGAAAAAAGCACAATTAGAGTGTATTCAAAAGAAATTTTCGTCTGAGCCGCATTATCTGCAATTAACAGATCAATAAGCATTGTTAAAATAAACTAACACTTCCAACTAGGTCCAGAACTACGACACCATGAAGCAAAGGAAGTCGACACCTGCTCTTAATTTAGGTGTAAATTAGACTTAGGGATGAAATAATTATCAGCTTTGAACAATGGCATGGATTATTGTTTGAGAATCAAGTAATTATCAAAATACAATGTATGGAATCAAGTGTTTTAGTTGATAAAAATAATCTAAGAGAAATATCAACATTTGTCTTAATTTTAGAGGCCAATTTTGTTAAAGAATAAAAAAGGAAAATCTAGAACTATCTCTTAGTTTAAGGATTATAAATAAGGCAGTGACAAATG